TCCTATTGGGACCCTTTCAGTCCCCTTCTTTTTCCACATGGCGGACAAACCCCATCGGTATTGTCACGGGGAAATCTTCCCACAAACAAAGACTTATCATCGATCTGTCTGCACCTCACACCTCTGCCACACCTAGTCTGAACTCCCTTATCCCCTCTGAGGAATTTTCACTTCAATACTCCACCATAGATCACGCCATTACAGCTATCATGCAGGCAGGGGTCGGAGCATGGCTCAGCAAGACTGACATAACAAATGCCTTCAAATTATTGCCTATCCACCCTACACTATGGCACCTGCACGGCATTAAGTGGGCCGGGCACTACTACTTTTTCTCACGCTTAACGTTTGGTTCAAAAAGTAGTCCGGCCATTTTCGACGTATTCGCCGAAACATTATGCTGGTTATTATTAAATGTAGCCAGATGCCCTACAGTTATACACTACCTGGATGATTTCTTACTGATCGAAGAGAACATTTCCCCTCCCAGTAGCCTCATAGAAACCATCAGTCTTTTTAAACAGGTGGGCGTTCCAGTCTCCCCCACCAAAACTGAAGGACCAGATACAGTCATCACCTTTCTTGGAATCATGCTAGACTCAGCCACCATGCAAGCCAGCCTGCCACGCACCAAGATAGAGAACATTCTTACCAACATTAACCTCTACATACACCTCGGTACTTGCAACCGCAAAGAATTGCAGTCTCTACTTGGGTCACTGAACTTTGCCATGCGCATTATACCTCAAGGCCGGGCTTTCATCTCACGGCTCCTATACATGTTCCCACTGTTTAGACATGATGCACACAGGTTACCCCTGGATACCCAAGCCACGGCAGACCTACTTATGTGGAGAAACTTTTTAACCACCTGGAATGGGAAAAGCATGTTCCTCCCTAAATTGTCTGACTCCTCACCTACCATCTGGTCAGACGCGGCGTCTACCACAGGTTTTGCGGCAATTTACGGGAATGAATGGCTTTGGGGTAGCTGGCCTCCAGAGGTTCAGGACCTGGAGGGTTTTTCCACTACCTCAGCTCTATTTGAGATATATCCCATTGTGGTAGCTGCCGTGACATGGGGGCATCTATGGGCAGGTTCGTCAGTACGTTGCTACTCAGACAACCAAGCAACCTGCCACATCATAAACAAAGGCCGATCCAAGTCACTGACCATTATGAGGTTCTTGAGGAAACTCACCTGGCTGGCTGCGTGCCATAATTTCTTCTTGTTTTGTGTTCATGTCCCAGGTGTATGTAACACGGCTGCTGACAATTTGTCTCGTTTCAATTTACAGGCTTTTCGGCAAATACTTCCGTCAGCCGCACGCACAGCCACGACCACTCTACTTTTCCACCAGCTAGTTATGGACTAGAAGCTATCATGCAACATAGCAGGACATTGTCACAATTAGCACTGTCCACCAATACCCGGAGAACCTATGACAGGGCTTTCCTTCTATTTAAAAGATTCCTGTCATTACACAACATCACACAACCTTTCATCATGACATCTTTGTTGGGTTTTGCTTCTTTTTGCCACCTCAAACTTAAATTATCTTACAACACAATCAAGCTATATCTGACAGGCGTACAACATCACATGCTAACATTACAACCAAACAACACAAGTTTCATGTCCTCCTACCAGATCAAGAACATCCTTAGGGGTATACAGAGATCCGAACCCCCACGTACTACGCAAAGGCTACCCATAGACTTCAATATTTTCAAAGATTTATCCAGCCTACTAGATTTAAAACCCTTTGCGAACAACACAAACCTTGTTATAAAAACCGCCATATACGTGGCTTTTTATGGGTTTTTGAGACCAAGAGAATTTACCGCCATCAACACATCCCAGTCCACTCACATTCTGCTTCATTCACAAAACACATGGATTACTATATCTTGGCTCTGCATCACTCCAAAACCAATCAACACGCACCCCCGGTAGAGGTTAGATACTATCCTACCCACAACGAGTGGTGCCCCGTCACATTACTGGACACATATACTCAGCATTTCAAATCATCACCATCTCAACCACTTTTCTGTCTACAAGGTTCGGTACTCACTACCACCACCTTCATGACCCACGTCAGGTCTCTACTTACGCAATTAGGCCTAAAATCAGCTAACTATTCGGGCCACTCCTTCCGCATAGGTGCGGCCTCCACAGCATCCAGTGCAAACATTCCGGTACATGTTATCAAGTCACTAGGGTGCTGGAAGTCTTCTGCATACTCTAGATACATACCTAACCCGGTGCAAGAAGTTAGAAATGCCTTTCAAGACACGTCTGGTTAAAGTATGTATATTGCTCGTTTCGTAATAAAAGTTTATTTTCTACTTTTGCCCTCTTTATTTACAGGCCTACCTCATCGTCGGTTCCGGCACACCACAACCGACTTGCTCTTTTAATACCATCCCACACTTATTAGTGTTTGTATCTTCTGTACTATCATGAGCCCTTAACACAAGTATTAAGGCCTTTTGGCCTGTAATTGTGGGAGGGGCGTATGACTCACCTTCTCCCTACTTAAGGGACACCCCTTACCTGGCTCCATACCGTTCGAGGTCAGCGCTGCATCACCCTCCCACCCACTCCTCATTTAACTCCTTTTCTCTTACATTTCTTCTTGGTGGGCCCTCTTTATTTACAGGCCTACCTCATCGTCGGTTCCGGCACACCACAACCGACTTGCTCTTTTAATACCATCCCACACTTATCAGTGTTTGTATCTTCTGTACTATCATGAGCCCTTAACACAAATATATATATATATATATATATATATATATAATATATATACATCTTATATATGTAACGTCATACGTAGTGTATTTTAATGTTAATATAAGCACATATATTAGTATTAAAATACACTTAGAATGACGTTACATATATATATAAGATATATATATTATATATATAATACATCTATATATTTTAGATTTATATATCCACGTATAATCACAATAATAAATAAAATATTTTTTTTTAAATGAAAACAAATTATATATACATATGTAATTTCATTCTAACTATATATTGGTAACAAAATACACTTAGAAAGACATTCTATATCTATCTATCTTTATTTAAAATACAAATAACCGCAAATATATACATATACAGATAAATATATATAATTACATAAATAACTACATAAGTGTACACGTAGACTTTAAATACATATATATGTATATATATTAAAATTCTACGTGTATATTTAAGTAATCTTTTAACATAATTATGTGATTTAATTAAAATTTGATTGACATGCCTGACAACCCAGGCAGAAAGTGCAGAGAATTTGAATTGCAAGCACTCTATTTAACCCTGTAACTTTCCAAGACACCATAAAGCCTGTACATGGGGGGTATTGTTTTACTCAGGAGACTTTGCTGAACACAAACATTAGTGTTTCAAAATGGTAACTTGTATTACAACAATGATATTTTTAGACGGCACTTTTACTGACGATATTATTGTTGTAATATGTTTTACTTTTTTAAAACACTTATTTTTGTGTTCAGTGAAATCTCCCAAGTATAACAGTACCCCCCATGTACAGTTTTTATGGTGTTTTGGAAAGTTAGAGAGTCAAATGTAAGGCTTGCATTTCATTTTTTTCACATTGAAATTTGCCAAATTGGTTATGTTGCCTTTTGAGACCGTATGGTAGCCCAGGAATAAGAATTACCCCCATGATGGCATACCATTTGCAAAAGTACACAACCCAAGGTATTGCAAATGGGGTATGTCCAGTCATTTTTAGTAGCCACTTAGTCACAAACACTGGCCAAATATTAGTTTTTTTGCTTTTTTCACACAAAAACAAATATGAATGCTAACTTTGACCAGTGTTTGTGACTAAGTGGCTACTACAAAAGACTGGACATACCCCACTTGCAATACCTTGGGTAGTCTACCCCATCATGGGGGTAAATTCCATTCATGGGCTTCCACACGGTCTCAAGGGTAACATTACTAATCTAGCAAATTCCAATGTGAAAAACCTGAAAATGGAATGTGCTATATTTGACCCTGTAACTTTCCAAAACACCATAAAACCTGTTAATGGGCTACTGTTGTACCCGTGAGACTTTGCTGAATCCAAATCTGTGCTCAAAGCTAACAGTATTATGACATTTACAGCTAAAATGTGAGGCAGAACTACAAATTGTTAAAAAAAAATTAAATTTCTCAGTTTTTTTTTATTTTATTCATAATAAATGATAATTCATATATGAATAGTTCATGTGACATTAAAGCCCTGTTTCTCCTGAACAAAATGATATATAATAAGTGTGGGTGCACTTAATATGAAAGAGGTGAATTACAGTTGAACAGACATATAGCGCAAATTCCAGTTTTTGTTTACATTTTGTTTTGATCAGAACGTGTACTATTGACTCCGTCCCGAAGGGTTTAAACCATGTTGTTGTTTTTTTAGTCGTTCAGTCGTGTCCGACTCTCCGTGACCATGTGGACCATAGCACGCCAGGTACATCTGCCCATCTGAGCTCCAACAACTTCATGTTTGTGGCTTCAGTGACTTCATCTATCCATCTCTGCCGTCCCCTTCTTCGTGTGCCTTCAATCTTTCCCAACATCAGAGTCTTCTCTAGAGAATCCTGCCTTCTCATTATATGGCCAAAATATTTGAGCTTTAGCCCCATGATCATAGCTTCCAGTGAACAGTTTGTCTTGATTTAGTGTAGTACGCATGTATTGGATCTTCTTGCAATCAAAGGATACTAAGCAGTTTTCGCCAGCACCACAGTTCAAAGGCATCAATTTTATGATGCTCAGCCTTCTTTATAGTCCAGCTCTCACATCTGTATTTTACTACTGGGAATACCATAGTTCTGACTATGCAGACATTTGTTGATAGTGTAATATCTTTAGTTTTTACCAGCTTGTCCAAGCTTGCCATAGCTTTCCACCCCAGAAGCAAAGATCTTTTAATTTCATGACTACAGTCACCATCTTAGGAGATCATGGATCCCAGGAAAATAAAATCTGTCACTGCCTCCACTTCTTCCCCATCTATTTGCCAGGAACTAAGATTGCTGTTTGACCATGATCTTAGTCTTTTTAACATTAGGCAGCAAGCCAGCTTTTGCACTCTCTTCTTTACCCTCATCAACAGGTCCTTTAGTTCTTCCTCACTTTCAGCCATAAGAGTAGTATCATCCGCGTATCTGAGGTTGTTGATATTTCTTCCAGCAATATTGATTCCAGCTTTGGATTCATCCAGCTCAGCCTTACTCAGGTGACTATATACAACCTTGTCGCACTCCTTGAACCATTCTGTTGTCCCATGTTTGGTTCTGACTGTGGCTTCATGGTCCACATGCAGATTCCTCAGGAGGCGGATGAGATGATCTGGTACTCCCATCTCTTTAAGAACTTGCCACATGTTGTTGTGATCCACACAGTCAAAGGCTTTAGAATAGTCTATGAAGCAAAAGTAGATGTTTTTCTGGAACTCTCTGGCATTCTTAATTATCCATCGTACATTGGCAAGTTGATCTCTTGTGCCTCGTCCTCTGCGGAACCCAGCTTGTACATCTGGTAATTCCAGGTCCATATATTGTTTGAATTGAGCTTGTAGGATCTTAATAATTACCTTGCTGGCATGTGAAATTTGTGCAATTGTTCAATAATTGGAGCACTCTTTGGCATTGCCTTTTTTTGGAATTGGGATGTAGACTGACCTTTTCCAGTCTTTTGGCCACCGTTGAGTTTTCCAAATTTGTTGGCATAAGGCAAGCAGAAATTTCACAGCATCATCTTGCAGAATTTTTAATAGTTCAATTGGCATTTCATCAACTCTTGCAGTCTTGTTATCTGCAAGGCATCCTAGGGCCCATCTCACTTTGCTCTCCAAGATTTCAGGTTCCATCTCATTGGACCAACTATTGAGGTCATTACTGCTATTAAGATCCTTCCTGTATAGATCTTCAGTATTGTGACCGACCGCCTGGCACCCTGACCCGGTACCTCCGTCAATCGCTGCTTCCTAGTACTTGTGAGCACCTAAAGCACTGCACTGGAACACCATGACCACCATAAACCCCACGAACCACCACAGCTTGGTTGGGGTCTCACTGTCCTGCCATGTAGCAAAGGCCAGCTCTTCTGCTGGGATAGGGTCAGCGGATACTACCTCCAGGACCTGGTTGAGGATCTGCTGTGGAGAGGAGGGATCGCCTACCTCCTCCTCCTGGCATTCCTGCGGTGCTGGTTGGGGATCTGGACCGCGGTCCAATCTGCACCATTGGGGTTAGGAGTGCTGTCCTCCTGAAGTTGGGGAGAAGGACCAGCTGTCTCCTCTTCTGGTATATACAGCTACCGCTGGGGAGGTAGACCGGCTGTCTCCATTCCCTGTGTTGCACACTGCTGTTGGGGAGGACCGCGTGGCACCTCAGCTATTGAGGTCATTACTGCTGTTATGATTCTTCCTGTATAGATCTTCAGTATTGTGACGGACCGCCTGGCACCACGACCGGGTACCTCCATCATTTGTTGCATCCTAGTACTTGAGAGCACTATACGCACTGCACTGGCACACTATAACCACCGTAAACTCCATGAACCACCGCAGCTTGGTTGGTGTCTCACTGTCCTCCACCCACCCTGGACCCAAGACCAGGATCCAGCTTCCAGTGGGTAGACCTTTCCTAGTCCAGAGAGCGTAGCAGGAACAGCTCTTATAAAAGCTAGTGATTGTACTCAGGGGAGTATTGTGATATAGCAATCCCCCAAACATCAGCCAAGACATGAAGGGGTAAACAAATCTCTCTTTAATGGGAGCCCACTTGGCCTTAAATGACAATCACCATGCAAGGGGTACACCCACAGGGACCTTTTGGGGGACTGATTTGCAACTTCACAGACCAATAACAACAAGGTTACAAGGCACGACACTCCCACACACTGCACACAATCCCTCCCCTCTGCTTGGGAGATAATTGGACCAGTAACTGTACTAATTCTAATCCAATTATCTCCAAGTACAGAAAAAACATACTTTTTAAAACACCCCTAAAATACATAAAACCTCACAAATGTTACATTCCCTGTTAGCCCTGATCTGGGTGACAAACATATCCAAAAATCACCCAAATCAATTCAGGGGTTCAGGAATTTCCTGGAAATTTATTTGACCGACCGCAGGCATGGTCCCATAGCCGAAAATCGTTCCATAGAATCGCGGCTAAGTGCTGCTGGAGGACCGACCAGGAACAGTGAAGATTTCATGCCGAAAATAGTTCCATGGCATTCGCAAGCTAAGTCCCCCTGAAGTCTTTCGCAATTTTGGCCCATGCGAACAAGATGGCCGCCACCTCGTGGTCGGCTATAGGAATTGCGGCCACCCAGACGAACACTTAGATCACTGCAGTGGAAATTGCAACAATGTGTCAATCAAGCTTAACAAGCTCCAGGGTGGGCCCCGGTTCGTACAGCTGTTCGGTAAACTAACCATATAGTCCCAATTGCTGGAACAGAGCCTGTTTAAAGTATTTTAGCCAGGTCTATTGCAAGCGCCATAGTCTCAGGGTAGGAGGCTGGCATACAGGCCCCTCCGAAAACCAGTGGCAAGGTTACTTTCGCCACAAGTGTATTCCTGCCATCTCTTCTTTACCTGATCTTCTGTTAAGTCCCTGCCATTTTTGTCTTTTACCACTCTTATTGGTAGCTAAGGGTATAGAATCAGTGTCACAGCCAACACAGAGGAGAACTAATCCGTGGATGCTTAATGCTCCTGCTGCTGTCACAGGGCCTGTCCAAGCCACCTCGAGCTATAGCGTTCCCCCAGCCACTTCGATTCCTACCTGAGATCAGCCCTCGGCTATCAGGACCACTTCCGCAAAGATTGTCCGCACCCTAGACAGAATAGGCCACTGCTTCCCCGGTACTCATCCTTCACCCACTGCCTATGGGTATTTCCTTCCGGGGTATTTTCAGCCACCACCACCTCTCCCACCAGTACCATATTTCCCTCCACCAGAATATTCTCAGGCCCCGCCACCACCCCCAGACACTCGTACTTACCCTCCAGCTCCTGCTGACGGGTTCGAGGAGGATCGCCCTGTGGCTAGGTTAAACCGAAATCCCCGGCCTACTCCTCAGGCTAATCCCCCTACCACATCTACAAGCCACTACACTGGCCCCGATCAGGCCCATTTAGATTTGTTGCAATAGGTAACTGGCAAGCCTGTGCCATGGCAGTGTCTACAGGGGATGGGGGAGGGCCCCTCGCCACTGTTGTTTTACCCGTTGAAGGTCATCCCACTACTTTCTTAGTTGACACAGGTGCAGCCCGCAGTGTTCTTAGAGAACAAGACCTGCCTGACCCATCCTACCTGTCAGACACCGATGTCTTCTGTGTTGGTGTTGATGGTACTCCCAGCAGTAATCCACTGACTAAGCTCCCTCACGTGGGTTCTGATATCCTCTCACGGTTTGTTGTCTCTTCCACATGTCCCATTAACCTTTTGGGTGCTGATGTCCTGTCCCGCCTTCAAGCATCAATCACTTTCACTGCAGACGGCCAGGTCCAATTAAATACACCTTTGTCACGGAAAGACACTTCAGTTCTCTGTTCCCTTCCCATATTACTGCATCTCATGTCTCCTGTAGGGGAATCAAGGGTCCCTAATGTCCCCAGTGCTCTGGACAGAATCCCTGCCAAGCTTTGGTCTACAGGCCCAGATGACATTGGCCGCCTTAAAGTCCCTCCAGTTGTGGTTACACTACTACCAGGAGTTGCTCCGCCACGAAGACCTCAATACCCACTGAAACCTGCTCAGGCCCTCGCCATCTCCAAGCAAGTGGAAAGCCTCCTGGCCAAAGGAGCCCTGTCAAATGTGTGTCACCATGCAACACCCCTCTGTTCCCTGTTAAGAAGAAAACTGAGAAGGGCCAACCAGATCAGTATCGTATGGTCCAGGATCTACGCGCTGTTAATGATGTTACAGTTAAAGATACAGCCGTCATCCCCAATCCACATACCTTGCTGTCACAGGTTCCACCCTCTGCCCAATTCTTCACTGTGGTGGATCTTGCTAATGCATTTTTCAGTGTGCCTCTGGACCCGTCCTGCCAGCATCTTTTTGCATTCACTCATGAAGGCCAGCAATATACATGGACTGTCATGCCTCAAGGGGCACAAAATTCCCCCACCCAGTTCGGCCAGGCCATGTCTATGGTTCTTGAACCCTGGCAAAAGGCCCACACTGACGTGGCCCTGCTCTAGTATGTTGATGACCTACTCCTCTGCGCTGCTGATCTCCAAACTGCAGAGCGTGTTTCTGAAGACCTACTATGCTTCCTGGCTGAGAAAGGCTGCAAAGTCTCTAAATCCAAGCTCCAGTGGTGCCGGCCCTCTGTGGTCTTCTTGGGACATTGTCTCTCCCATGGCACCCGCCATCTTACCAAGAATAGGATCCTGGCTATCTTGAACTTACCAACCCCATGTGCTCACCAATCTCTACATGCCTTCTTAGGCCTCATCACCTGCAGGTCATGGATTCCTGAAGCCTCCCAGCTAATGCAACCACTACATGATGCTTTGAAGAGCGAACCTTTCTCACTCTCACCTCATGCCTTAGCTTGCTTCACTGCTCTGAAAAAGGCTATCTCCTCTGCCCCGGCCTTGGGCCTACCCAACTACCAGTTGCCCTTCAAGTTGTTTGTCTCTGAAAAGATGGGCCACGCTTCTGGGGTCCTTACTCAAACTCATGGATCCAGACAAAGACCCATTGGCTATTTTTCCTGCCTGCTCGATCCCGTTGCCAGAGGTAGTCCTTCCTGCTTACGGACAGTGTTTGCCGCCAGTGCCTTACTGGACAAGACCAATGACTTCGTCCTTGGCCATTCTCTGACTGTTCTTGCTCCACATGACATTTCTGCCATTCTGCAACAGGTCCAACCGAAACACCTTTCCTCACAACGTCATTTACGTTTGCAAACCTCTCTATTGCTGCCTGACAATGTCACCCTGCAATGTTGCTACTCGTTGAACCCGGCCACTCTTCTGCCACTTCTCAAGGTGGGAGTGGCACAGTATTGGTACAGCTTGGACATCAATCTGGATGCTCGGAAGGAATTCCAACTACCCACTTCTGCAGCCTCACATGATGTTCAACCAGAGAACTTGTTACATTGTACCCTGTGGTTTAAAGATACCCCAGGCCCTGATGTGGACTATGAAGAAGAACTGTTTCACCTTGTAGAAATTCACATCATGTTGACAGACTTACTATGGGACTCCAGAGGCAACGTGGTCTTGTTGGTCCACCTTCCAACGGAAGTATCTCATCTCTACCACCACTGGGAGACAGCTGTCCCACATGTCTCCTTCACCAAGTCTCCTGACCTCTCATGGAAAGATCTAGGCCCAATGGCCAAGTCTTGGAGTACAGCAACCCAAGAACAACTTGAACTAACAGGAGTAACCAGGAAGATTATTAATTGCAATACAGTTGGTTACCCACGATACCATACCGAGATATGTGAGGATTTCCCTCCCATGGGACAAGATCCAGAAGCTCCCCATGATTGCTTTGAACAAATGAAGATGGA